GGCCTGATCAACCAGGCTGTTCCTGCTGGCGGCACGTAGTCCAACGTACGAACCACAGCCCGGCTGATCCGGCACCGACTTTAAGTATATGTTAAGCTCCCTCTTAAAGGCAGTCAGGTGTCCATTGGTAATTCCCCTTATGCATGGTGGGAAGCTGTTGAACAGTCTTTGGGCCCCGGACACTTATGGTGTTTTCTCTTATTGTACCAGTGGCGCCCCTACTTTTCATAGGGGGTATTTCACACCGCCTTCCCAGTCTTTACTTTCGTAGGGAGTGATTTCTGTGTGCAGATTTGGGACCATTCCTTCTAGGATTTTCCAAGTGTAGATTATGATATATCTCTCTCTCCTGCGTTCCAACGAGTACAAGTCAAGTGCTTCCAAACGTTCCCAGTAGTTACGGAATTTGATCGAACTTGTATGTGCAGTAAAGGTTCTCTGTACTCTCTAGATCTGCAATTTCACCTGCTTTGAATGGAGATGTTAATGTACAGCAATATTCCAGCCTTGAGAGAAGTGATTTGAAAAGGATCATCATTGGCTTGGAATCTCTTTGTCTGGACTTTCTCATTATCCATCCTATCATTTTCTTTGCAGTTGTGATCGTGGCAATGTTGTGATTCTTCCAGCAGTTTTGTGTCATTATTTCGGGTGAGCCCAAGATAGGACACGGAAAATTTGAAAAAGATTTAAGTAGTGTTCCCTTGGGTATTGGAGAATTACATGACGTTTGGTGGTGACAAATTCTAATTGCTTAGATAGCTTAGATATGGAGAGAATAAAGAACTCAAAGGGGCACTGTTTTCAAAATGCAAGATGCTTACCAAATAGAATGAGAGGAACATGTGAAATGTCTGAGTGTAAGAAACTCTGCAGACATTTCATTTAAAGAAAAGGCAAATGCCACGACAGTCAGGAAAATGACAGGGTGGATAATGATTAGATTTTAGATTTTGCCACCGAAGTGGCTAGTTTATTGTGCACCCCATATCCATCCTGTGGACGGTAGCGCGAGAGCATGTGGATACACAAAAGGCCTAGGAACTAGGCCCCAAAGGGTTAACAGGAATACATATGGATTTATATCTACATATCTATAGTTCACTTATCTGTTACATGCAAATTTAGGAAATTTGCTTAGTATATCTGGTATCTTATTTTCATTAATAAGATATCTTGACATGTCACATAGGTTATTATACTGTCTGTCTCTGTATTCCTCAATAAGTGGACAATTAAGCACATAGTGTTCAAGAGAGTGACCATATGCCTGATCACATAATTTACATTTAGTTTGATCATCATCTGTGTGTCTCCCAAACTGCCAGAAGTACTTGTAACCAAGCCTAAGCCTGGCCACTACAACATCAGTCAGTCTGTTCACATTGCAAGTTGCTCCATAAACATACTTATCTACGTTCATGTTATCATAGTGGGTTATAGATCTACTCAGGCTTCTAACTGCATTCCTATAACAATCATCTTCATTATTTACTTCTCTCCTAATATTATTCCTAATGCTAGACACAGTTATACCAAAGTTATATTCTACGTTCTCCTTCTGGATACTCTTCTTGGCTAACATATCAACTTTATCATGAAGGAGTAATCCAATGTGTGATGGGATCCATAGCAATTGTACATTAATTCCTTTGTCCCTAATTTTTGAGTATCTATACCTGGCTTCTCCAATGAGCATGTTGTTGGAGTCATTATATGAGTCAAGAGCCTTCAATGATGACATAGAATCAGTAATGATGATAGATCAAGCTCAGTGTCATAGGTTAGCTTTAGCGCCATTAGGATTGCAAACAATTCAGTTTGCAGTGTAGACGCCCAGTTGTTAATTCTTATGCCTAACTCAACAAATTTATTATCGTTCTTAACTAGGGAGGTGGCAACAAGAGCAGATGCAGCCCTGCCAGAAGACTCCTGTTTAGATCCATCAGTGTATATAACTTGTGATAACTTAGAACTTAGAACTTTAGAAACATGGGAAATAATGCCATTCGTGACACTTGTGCTCTCTTTAAAATATTGTTCATTGTTGATGGGTTCATTCAGGGCAGGAAAGATATCAGAGCTGGAAATGACAGAGATCAGTTATGTTATCATAAGAGCCAATACAGCGTTTCAGTTACTGGGATCGCGATAAAATCCTAAATATGTACGGGGCATAGGAGAGAGATAAACGATAATATATACATAGAAGGTGCTTGAGGGCCTGGCCCCAAATCTGCACACTGTCATAACAACATACTGGCATGAATAATATTGGAGAAAATGTAAAATAGGGACAAGCCTTGGCCAGGGCCGGTCGAAGGACCTGAACTTTCAAAACTCTTCCCGGGTATATCAAAGGTAAATATAACTAAGAATTTTGAACACATGCCCTGGTAAATATGAGGGTTGGTAAGTGGTCATAAGTTGTTCTTAATATTTTGTCTTCCAGGGATTTGGGAACCGCATATCGTGTAAGGTCTTACACATTACGTGATGCCAAATACACTAAAAGAACCCGCACATAAAAAGAGAGATAGCTTGAAGACGACTTTCGGTCCGACTTGGACATTGAGTGTGACTTTGCCAATGGTCCAAGTCGTGAAAACATTGTCGGTTAAGCTCTCTCTATTTAATTGTGCGGGTCTATTTGTGTATAATCCAGTACGTATTGTGCCTTTCTGTTATTACGTGATCAACAGTGATAGATGTAGGCGAAACTTATAAGCAAGCTCACGATATTTGTTTAAATTTAAGTTAGGGTTATTTAGGATAGAAACTGTTGGAAGGCCATCTAGTCCAGTTGGAGAGCTATCTAGCTCTGTTGGAAAACTGTTTAATACTGTTGGAAAACCATTTAGCGGTTTGAAAGCCATCTAGTGCTATTTGAAAACCATCTGGTTCTGCTGTAAAGCTGTCTATGCTGTTGGAAAGCCATGTAGTGCTGTTGGAAAGCTATCTAGTGCTGTTGGAAAGCCATGTAGTGCTGTTGGAAAGCCATGTAGTGCTGTTGGAAAGTTATCTAGTGCTGTTGGAAAGTTATCTAGTGCTGTTGGGAGGCTATCCAGTTCTGTTAGAAAGTTATCTAGTGCTGTTAGAAAGCTATTTGGTCTGTTCGTGCTAATCCCTGAATCCCTAGATCTTTCAATCCTCTTATGGGTGTTGGACTCGCTACATATTTTGTGACTCCCTCGCGTCTGTCTGGCTTCTAAACTCTGCCTTTTAATTTGCTTCCATCACTCTGATTAATGCTCATGTTTCAACACGCACAAACCAAATATATTGACATTTGAATATGTTTACATTTTCATCGTATGTCAAGGATGATAAATACTGTCTTTCTTAGCCCTCGATTTCTTCCAAATTAGAGAGAGAGAGAGAGAGAGAGAGATGTGAGTGTGTGTGTGTGTGTGTGTGTTTGCGTGTGCGCTCCATATTCGTGGTTGCAGGGGTCGAGTCTCAGCCACTGTCCCTGCCTCTCACTTGGTCTCTATTGGGTTCTCTCTCCTGGCTTTGTGAATGCTCTCATACCTATTCTTAAAGCTGTGTCTATATCCTGCCTCTACCGCTTCGTTGTCGAGTTCATTCCACTTCTTGACTACTTCTTGACTACTTCTTGACCACTTCTTGACTGGTCTCAGACCGGGCCGCGGGGGCGTTGACCCCCGGAACTCTCTCCAGGTAAACTCCAGGTAAACTCTGAGGCTGAAGAAATGTTTCCTGACATTCCCGTGACTCGTCTGCTTTTTACGTCTCCAGCTGTGCCTGTATGTACCTGTTATCCGCCTCTTGAACAGCCTATCTCTATCTGTTCTTTCATTTCCTCTTACTTTAGTAACTGGTGAATCGTTATGTCTCTAGTATTGTCAGGTTTAGTTTCTTTAAGTCTCCCCGTGTCTCAACCATTAGCTCTGGGATCAGTCTCATTGCAAACATCTGCACTTCGTTCATTTTATTATATGCTCGAGCAGATGTGGGTTCCATACTGGTGCTGCATACTCAGAGATGAGTCTGATATATGTTGTTTATAGTGTTGCAAATGACCCTTCGTTGATATCCCTAAAAGCTAACCTTAGATTTAGCAATTGAGCACATGCTGAAGATATTATTGGGGGTGATAATTTATGTGATATGCTCGGTATTATACTTCATGAACGATATTGAAAACTGCCAACATCTACGAAACTTACAACATATTAATCCCCACTCGACTTAGAAGTCGCATAAATAACATGTCCCTGTACTCAGGCCCAGGCCCAGGCCCAGGCCCAGGCCCAGGCCCAGGCCCAGGCCCAGGCCCAGGCCCAGGCCCAGGCCCAGGTCCAGGCCCAGGCCCAGGCCCAGGCCCAGGCCCAGGCCCAGGCCCAGGCCCAGGTCCAGGCCCAGGTCCAGGCCCAGGTCCAGGCCCAGGTCCAGGTCCAGGCCCAGGTCCAGGCCCAGGTCCAGGCCCAGGCCCAGGCCCAGGCCCAGGCCCAGGTCCAGGCCCAGGCCCAGACCCAGGCCCAGGCCCAGGCCCAGGCCCAGGCCCAGGCCCAGGCCCAGACCCAGGCCCAGACCCAGGCCCAGACCCAGGCCCAGGCCCAGGCCCAGGCCCAGGCCCAGGCCCAGGCCCAGGCCCAGACCCAGGCCCAGACCCAGATACACAAATAACCCGCACATAAAAGAGAGAAGCTTACGACGACGTTTCGGTCCGACTTGGACCCAGGCCCAGGCCCAGGCCCAGGCCCAGGCCCAGGCCCAGGCCCAGACCCAGGCCCAGACCCAGGCCCAGACCCAGATACACAAATAACCCGCACATAAAGAGAAGCTTCGACACGTTCGGTCGACTGGACCCAGGCCCAGGCCCAGGCCCAGGCCCAGGCCCAGGCCCAGGCCCAGGCCCAGGCCCAGACTCATACCCAGGCCCAGACTCGTGTTACTCCATTTTTATTGAGTATATTTCTCGTAATCGTATACTAAATTTTGGTGACTCCAGTGTGTTGAAGGTTTTTCAATATACAACTCTCATTCGGAGTTGTTGTTTGTGGGACAGAACTGCAGATAAGGAAGTTTAAGTTATCCGAAGGTGGTAATATCAAAGGTAGTGGTCTCGTGCCTGTCGTGAGAGTGACACTGAACGGTTCGCCATATGACGACATTTCGCTCAAGTAATTTTTCCCTCACGAGTGTCAGAAAAATTATAACAGCAGCAACAACAACAACGTGAGACTGCTGATGTTTGTGTGAGAGGAGAGCAGTGACAACAGTAGACGTAGAGGAAAGTCAGCAGCACCATCATGTTCCTCTCCTGACCACCCTGCCTGTGTTTTTGGCCTGTACCAGCCTGTTGTGTGGTGCAGGCGCCTGCAGGAGGGTGTGTGAGCGACGCCACCAGAGAGGGTTAACACCCCACATTGTGATGCCATAGTAGTGTGCTGGATCTGGTGTGGTAATGATGATGATATGTGGCGCTATGGACTGCTTCATCCAGGTGAGTAACGCTCACTCATGTTCTCTCTCGTTTTTTCTACACTCCCCTCTCACCTCTTTAAAAAAATACCCTACAAATTTCTTTAATTTTTTTTTATTATTTTTGTGTGTGTCTGTTGTAGAGCTCTCTGTATAAGTACACTTGACTGATATACAGTACTTCATTTGCACAGGTACATGATACCCAGACAGAATGCATCTATAAATAGGCACACACATGTTTATAGTATACATGTTTCTTGGACTGTACATACACATATATTCTGTATATATTTTTGGGAACGCGCCCGAGCTCTGAGAAGCTGGAGGAGATTTTCGTATTATAATCAGTGATAAACACGTAACAGTATGTACTAGACATGTATCTCTCACACCTCATGTACTGTATATGCCATCTTTATATATATATATATATATATATATATATATATATATATATATATATATATATATATATTTATATATATATTATATATATAATATATATATATATATATATATATATATATATATATATATATTATTGTGACCACGAACGAGTGGTATTCATCAATAACAACACTGCACTAGCCAAGGACTCGAACACATGCTGCTTTGGCCTGCCTCATGGTGGGCGAAAACACATGACGCCCTTATCAACTCAACCATACGATCCTTAAGAGTATAGCATCCAGCGGATATGTATAGGGTGGAGCAGAGAAAACACATGTTTTTCACAACTGAATAACTTTGCGTATTTTAAAGATAAACAGATCTTAATTACATCAAATAAAAGGCATTTGAAGACATTTTTGAAATTTACACACAGACGAAGCACATTTCCATCTGGGTGGCAATGTTAACAAAGACAACTGTTGGATGCAACATACCCCCAGTGAAAAGTAGGGGCGTCACTGGTACACTAAGAGAAAACACAATAAGTGTCCGGGGCCCAAGACTGTTCAACAGCCTCCCACCAGCAATAAGGGGCATTACGGGAAGTCCCCTGGTTGTCTTCAAGAGGGAGCTGGACAGATACCTAAAGACGGTGCCGGATCAACCGGGCTGTGGTTCGTACGTTGGATTACGTGCGGCCAGCAGTAACAGCCTCGTAAGACAGGAACGCCCCTTTGTAAAACCATGTTGAGATTCATTAATGGAGATAAGGCTTATTGGTCTATAGTTCGAAGCCAAGGACCTGTCACCTGCCTTGTAAATAGGTATTACATTTGCCATTTTCCACTTATCAGGCACTATGCCAGTTTGTAGTGATATGTTAAAAAGATTAGCCAAAGGTATGCTAAGTTCATCTTTACATTCCTTGAACACCCTTGTGAACAGTTCATCAGGACCTGGGGATTTGTTAGGTTTTAGTTTCTCTATTTGTCTGAGGACCATGTCACTAGTTACCGCAATCGTACATAGTTTATTATCATCCTGTTCTACATAATCTATTATTTCAGGAATATCGCTAGTATTTTCCTGGGTGAAAACTGAGAAGAAGTAGGTACTGAGAATTTCACACATATCCTTATCACTGTCAGTAATCTGACCAGAGTTACTCTTAAGTGGGCCAATCTTGTCCCTAATCTTACTTCTGTATACCTGAAAGAACCCTTTTGGGTTAGTCTTTGAATCCCTTGCGACCTTAGCCTCATAATCCCTTTTTGCATTTTTTATTCCTTTCTTTATTTCTCTCTTTAATTGAATATATTGATTTCTTAACTGCCCATCCCCTCCTTTGATATGCCTATATATGCCCCTCTTTTGACCAATGAGATGTTTTAATCTATTGTTCATCCATTTGGGATCATTTTTGTTAGATCTGATTTCCCTACTCGGAACAAAAGTTGTCTGGGCAGCTAGAACTATGCTCTGAAAAACGCCATATTGGCAACCAAGATCACCTACCTGACCCATAGTGAGGACATCCCAGTTTAGCCCACCCAGGTAATTTTTCAGTCCCATGAAGTCGGCCAAGCGAAAATCTGGGACAGAGATTTGATTGCAGTTATCTGGGTAATTCCATGATATATTAAAACTAAGTGATTTGTGATCACTTTCCCCAAGCTCATCATTAACCTCAAGGTTATTAATTAGTGAATCTTTGTTGGCAAGAACCAAATCAAGCAAATTGTTTCCTCTAGCTGGTTCTGTCACAACCTGTTCTAAAAAGCAATCCTGAACCGTATCAAGAAAGTCACTAGACTCAAGATTTCCTGTCATATTGTTCCAGTCAATTTGTCTAAAGTTAAAATCTGCCATTATCACAGCATTTTCATATCTAGATGCCTTATGAATTTCGTCCCATAACAGCTTACTGCACTACCTATCAAGGTTTGGGGGCCTATAAATCACACCCAGAATTAATTTGTCACGTCCCTCGAGAAACTGTAGCCAAACAGATTCTGTGTTCGATGTTTCTAATCTTATATCATGTCTAAGACAATTTAAAATTTCTCTGACATACGTCGCCACTCCACCACCCTTCCTGTTGATCCTATCTGTGCAGAATAGTTTATAACCCTGTATGTTGCATTCAGAAGGCATTTCTCTATCTTTCAGGTTGAACCAGGTCTCTGTTTTACCAATAATATCTATATTACCTACACTTGCAAGTAATCTTAGCTCATCTATCTTATTTCTTAGACTCCTACTATTTGTATAGTAAACCTTAAGGGAGCTAGTCACTTGTTGCCCTCTACTCTCTCGCTTTGTTTGTTGATAAATTGATTTGCCATTACTAACAACTTTATTTTGAATATTGTCTTTTAAACATATCCCTGAGGTATCCTGGTAATAACTGCTGCTTTTAACCCTATTGATGCAGCCTGATTGTTTCCCACAAACACCCATACCTCTATAATCTATCAGTTTAAATTCCTAGATAAGTCATCAGTTACCCTCTCAATCGAATTGGCTAATGCAACCACTCCATCCCCGGAGAGATGAACCCCATCCCTTGCATACATATCACATTTGCCAAAGAACAGGTCCCAGTTATCAATGAATGGGATTGCAAGTTCCTTGCAGTACCTGTCTAGCCAGCAATTTGTACCAATTGCCCTAGATGTCCATTCATTGCCCACTCCCTTTCTAGGCAAGATGCTACATGTGACTGGGATCCCTCCCTTAGACCTAACTACTATGGCTGACCTGTACTTATCCAGCAGCTCCTCTCTCCTGCCCTTCCCAATGTCATTACCCCCAGCACTCAGATAATGGGCTTGTTCCCATTACCTGCCATAATATTATCCAACCTGCTGACTATGTCACCAACACTAGCTCCAGGAAGGCACACTTTATCTCTGTTACAAAATGCACGGTCCATATATCTTACCTGAGAATCGCCTACTATTAAAATATTCTTACCTTGATTAGCAGGGGAATCAGTGGTACCTTCAACCTCACTAACCACTGAAGTACACTCGTCTTGGAGAACAGAGAATCGATTTCCTACCTTCACATCTTCTCTATTAACTCTCCTCATCTTCCTTCTTCCTGAACTTTGAACCACTTGCCACTTAATTAAAGTGGCTGCCACTATCACTGCTGGTGACCATTTCCTCCTTACCAGCTAAATCCTTCACACACTCACTCCCAAACTCATCTATGCGAAGCTTCAGCATCCTATTTTCCTCCTGAAGAAGTAGAATCTCCTTCTTCAACACTTGAACCTGAGATTCTAAAACAATACAACAAGCCATGGTGCTTGGTAACAGCCCACGCTAACTCCTAAGAGCTTAGGCAGGTATGACCGCAGGTGACCACTGACCTCAGCGTACTTAACAATGCAAGATAAACCACGAAGAGGGGTGGGGGTGGAAATCTATAGCTCAAGTACTTTCACACTTCTCAGTGCGTCATCAGGAGGTATGTAATAGTGTTGCAAGGAAGCAACTGAAGGATTGATGGGGAAGTATTTTCATAGGGTAGCTCAGCGCGGGTTGACACAAGCCGTGGCTTGTCTTGCATTGTATATATATATATATATATATATATATATATTATATATATATATATATATATATAATATATATATATATATATATATATATATATATATATATATATATTGTGTGTGTGTGTGTGTGTGTGTGTGTGTGTGTGTGTGTGTGTGTGTGTGTGTGTGTGTGTGTGTGTGTTATATATATATATATATATATATATATATATTATATATATATATATATAATATGTCGTGCCGAATATGTAAAACTGGTCAATTAGCGAGAACTCATTTAAAATTAAGACCTTTCTAAAATTTTCTCTTATACGTTTAAAGATATATTTTTTTCATTAATGTTAATGTAAAAATTTTTAATTTTGCACCAATAGAATCTTAGAAAACTTACCTAACCTTATTATAACAAGAACAATTTATTTTAGCCTAACCCAACTATATATATTTTAGATTTGTTTACAATAATTTAATACTGAACAAACACAACGAAATATATTTTTTTCGTTAGGTTCAGAATGATTTTGGCGAAATTATTGCATACACAAATTTTCGCTTGTCCTATATGGCAAGATGAGCGTTGCTATTTAAGCCAAGATCGCAAGTTCTGCCTATTCGGCACGACATATATATATATATATATAATATATAATATATATATATATATATATATATATATATAATATATATATGTGTGTGTGTGTGTGTGTGTGTGGTGTACACACACACACGCTGCTTTTACTCTCACTTTAGCACACTATATATACAAGTGCACGTATATGCATACACGCCCATCTGAATTTTCTTTTATTTTTGTAAATAGTTCTTGTTCTTACCTATTTCCTTTCATCTCCATGGGGAAGTGGAAAAGAATCTTTCATCCGTAAGCAATACTTACACACCCTTGTGGATTTAACGCTTCTACAATATTATTATTAATAAATTGGTTAATTGGCTCATTTTCTAATTATCTTCTTGTGATCTCTCTTCTTTAAATAAATGCTTCTTTGCCTCTTTGATGGCCGCAATTTAATTTTAAAATTCGGTTTCTTGCAATTGTT